GCTCTCCTTCAATAGCTGCAATCAGCAGAGACATTCAAATGAAATCTTCTTCATTATAAAAGACAAAGAGGAGGGAATAGGGGAACAGATATTCTTGGCTACAGCTCCAAGACTCTGGAATTTTCTCCCTAATTTTATCTGAAAACAGCTTAGACTAGTACATTTTGAGACAAAAGCCACCTTCTGAGGGGCTCTTTGAAGAAACAAGCAGCGTTCTTCCTAGATGAAGAGAATTGCAGGCTGTTTGAATAGATTTGCACAGAATCCATTTCATACTGCTTAATTTTTTCTGATTAAACTTATTTGTATTTACTGGATTACTGACTACATGAGAATGCATAACAACTTTGGTAAGCTTCTACTGTATTTTTCATATAAATAAAACCAGACAATCATAAACCTACTTGCAGAAGGTTTTATACATAGTTATTGGGTTATAACTAAGAAAATTAATGACTTGTTAGTATTAGTAGCCATTCCTTTCAACAACTTTTTGAAACATCTATTAATCATTTATTAACACACTATTTATAAACTAACTTCTGTAGGCACATTTCCATGATGTTTGTTTCATTTAAAAATACAGTTTTGATTCATTTTATGTGTTTATGGCTGTTCTCTGCGGCTGTATGAAGACAACCACACTATTCTTTCTGGTCATAGTAGAGAAGGACCATAAGACCCAGTTTAGCCTTGACCGTCTCTGTATTGGAAGGCTAGCAGTCTTCCAGGGACACCTTTCTCCTGCATGTAGGTTTCTCTGCCTCCTTCCGTTAAAAGATGGTCTTGGAATTTACACATCACCTACACTGTAGCAAGAAAGGGCTGCAGTGCTGATTTATTACTCCTGAATTGAATCAGTCTGATAAAAAGACATCCTGTAAAATTTCAGCATAGTTTATCTCTGGCTGCTGGGAAAAAATCATGACTCATGCATTATGTATGCATCATTACTTGAGATGTGCAAGCAGTTAACTGTCCTTGTGCAAACAGCATTTATATCTGAATCTTAGCCATAAACCTGTCCCTAAAATGTGAACAGATGAAAAAAGTGATTTTGTTTCCATTAAGGAATATTGACCAAGTATAGAAATTATGATGACCCAAATACAAATCTTAATACAGAATATTGACTGTGTGTAGTCTAAACATCCTTCTCACTCAGCTGAGAAGATATTGAGGCATGGTAGGAAAGTGGTCCTTAGTTACCTAAGCACAATGAGAAACTGTCTCAAAAACATGTAACATTGTTTTATCATTCAAAACACTTTAAAGTATCTTAAATGTCCCAAAAAGTATAAAGAAAGAAAGAAAAGCCTTCACAGTAAGAAAAGTGTCTTTAAAAATTCTTTCAGGAACTGAAAATAGGGATTTAGAAGAGGATATCTCAATGCTATCCCACCATGACACTGTAAGTAGGCTAAAACATAAATGGAGAGAGGTTTAAACAGATGTTTTAGAAAACTTGCTAAAAACCTCTCAATGCTCAGGAAACAAGCAAAGGTTGAATTTTTCAGAAAGTTTCCAGTTACACTTAGTAGTATTTTCATTTAAAAAGAACACTAATATTGTTTTTTGACATCTGGGGAGTCTTTTTCTGCTCTGGGCTGTTCAGTCTGTGTTTTGGCAACACATCTTTTTCTGGTTTGGCCCTATTGTACCTCACAAATAGAACAAGTTTTTAACTCATTATAGACTATCTGCAAGAACTTATGATAAAGGCAACCAGGTCCTTTTTGTTTTCCCTATCAAATTACACAGTGTAGCACCAACAAGATTTACAAAAACAAGATGCTTCCTGCTTAGCAAATATTTGAAATTCTGAAGTAGTTTTTGATTTCTAAAAGATAAAATTCAGAGATAAAGTCAGAGAAATATAGGATATACAATCTCAACCTTTCCATGCAGGGGTATACAAATAGAGATTTCAGAAAACAGCATGAATTAATTACGGATCTAGAACTAATTTTTAATATTGCCCACTGTCCTCTCAGTAAAGCTTACCTTCCCAATATTTATCTATTTACTAAGTATATTTATTTGTAGACCAAGATAACTTTTCAGGTTGTTTTCATATTTACTAGTTTTTGTCATCACTTAGAGTAGTCTCTGATAACACATGCTACTGAGAGGTACCAAGATGTCCAAAACCTGTGTGACCTATTCTGTTTTTTCAACAAAATTTCTCAGCATTACAGTTGGGGGACAATGAAATGAAGAGGAAGATGCATGCTTGAAAGAAGGTAAATGTCCTTGTTTCAGTGGGGGTAGAGTTAATTTTCTTCCTAGTAGCTGATATAGTGCTGTGTTTTGGATTTAGCATGAGAATAATGTTGATAACACACTGATGGTTTAGTTGTTGCTGAGTACTGCTTATGCTAGTCAAGGACTTTTCAGCTTCCCATGCTCTGCCAGGTGCACAAGAAACTGGGAGGGGGCACAGCCAGGACAGCTGACCCAAACTGACCAAAGGGCTATTCCATACCATATGACGTCATGCTCAGTATAGAAACTGGGGGGAGTTGGCCAGGGAGCAGCGATCGCTGCTCGGGAACTGTCTGGGTATCGGTCGGCGGGTGGTGAGCAATTGCATTGTGCATCACTTGCTTCGTATATTCCTTGATCATTATTATTATTATTACTTCCTCTTCCTCTGCTGTCCTATTAAACTGCCTTTATCTCAGCTCACGGGTTTTACTTTTTTTTCCCCGATTCTCTCCCCATCCCACTGGTGGGGGGAGGTTGAGCAAGTGGCTGTGTGGTGCTTAGTTGCCGACTGGGGTTAAACCACAACAGTAAATCCCCTGAAAACTTCCAAGAGAGAAAGGAGAATAAACTGAAAAAAGTCAGGCAAATTGTATAAAAGGAAGATGTGAGAAAATAACATGACAGCACGTAGGAATTAATACAACCTTTTTCTCAAAGAAGCTTTTCCTCAAAGAAGCTGTATATTCAATTTTAGTAGGGATGGCAGCAGAGATCCTAAATACTCACAATCTACTTCACAGTGGTATTATCTTTGTAAGGACTGCAGGTATTTGTACCTGCCAGTCTACTCTGTTTTTAAAATAAATTACCATACAATTCAAACAGATATTGTCCTAAAATAATTCCAAGAAGATCAATTCATGTTATAGACAAATCTCCAAAATGAGCTGTATACAACAACATGTAATGCTGAAGGAATCTTTAAAAATCAAAGTGTGAACTTTTGAAGAAGGCAGCTCCAGCCAACTCTATTAACAACGAGAGTCTGTCAAGTTATACATCTTTGCTAACATAATCAATTGATCTTTTAATAAACTTCACATTAACAGAAATAATAGGAAAGGAAGTTTTATGGGGAGTAAGGTAAATACACTGTTCTACGAAGTTAACACTGCGGACTTTTTTTTGTTCTGGCTTTACATTAAAATTAAGCATTTGTGTGAGTGCACTGCAGTCACAGGGTTTGTTCTCATTTGAGTACATTGCACCTTACCACACAGACTGGTCAGGTCAGGTGTTAGTATTTGGTATACGGTAGTTTTCATCAGAGACATTTATTGCCAATTCATTGAAGGAAGTAGCTATGAGAAAAAAAGTCCCAAACTTCGTCTGAAACATAACATTAAAAGAAGGGAAGAGGTATATTAATGTCCATTAATGTGTATGCCCTGCAACTAGAGGAAACACATTGTCTCCTTTAGGTCTTCTGGTACTGAAAGAAATACAAGCTATACTGGACTAAAATGAATGCTACTATGATTTACAGTATTACATTAGTACACACTGTGTTTGGTTAAGAAAGACAAAAAGTCATCATATGTTTCTTAAGAAGGGAAGAGGTATATTAATGTCCATTAATGTGTATGCCCTGCAACTAGAGGAAACACATTGTCTCCTTTAGGTCTTCTGGTACTGAAAGAAATACAAGCTATACTGGACTAAAATGAATGCTACTATGATTTACAGTATTACATTAGTACACACTGTGTTTGGTTAAGAAAGACAAAAAGTCATCATATGTTTCTTTATACGTTAATTACATGTTCACTGTGTTTCTTTTAAATAATTATGTACTTTGCAACATGCTCTGCATAGTGCACAATTTTTGTGTGTTGGTGAAAGAGGTAACACACATTAGAGCATTTGCTATATTTTTTCTCCCATCACTGTGCTGATAGCTGCAGAACCATTCACCTCCTGACTTACAAATGAGAAGACTGTAGGGGCTGCTTTAACTTGAACTACCCGTTAAAAGTATCAAAGGGTAAAAAGGAATGCAAGGGATTACTGACCTGTTGAATGTATTTTGTTAACATTACTCTGTATAAACACCCCACCTTGGCATTAAAGAACTCTTCTCTGTTTGGGGAGGCTTATACTCTTTTCTGCCTTTAGAAGAGGTGCAAAGAAGGCATAGATCTGGCAAGGAACTGGCCCTATTTGTAGCATCCCTACTAATATAGTAGAGAGATAATAGATATAACATCTAACAAATGCATTTAATGTTTGTTGAACAATACTTTAGAGATATGCTTTTGAAACAGACATCATGAATATTAAAAGGTATGTAGAAAGGTTACTAAGTAGCTCAAAATCAGTAATTAGTGCCCAGGATGAAATACCACATAATAGGTTACTTAAAATTTTTAAGTTAACTGTATACATAATGCACATTCTCAAACTAACTCCTCTGTGATTTCTACTCTCTTTGAAATTTATAGCTTCAAAAATATTCTTCACATCTACTTGACTGGACAGTGAAAAACGCAAAGTAATTGTAAATTTATTCACCAAATGTTTAAAAAACTAAAAAGTAATGGTTGACTTTTACAAGATTACAGTAAGATTTCTAATTGGTGTAAAGTGGTCTGACTTCAACAATATTAACTGAAGATACAGCTACTGGACTAAGACTAATGGAGAAACAATGAATCAGTTAACATATACTCGCATTCTTTTCCTTTGACATTCTTTTCAGTTAAAATAGTTCCATTTATTTTTTGTATACTTACTTTGAATTCCATGGGAGCGAACTATTTTCCAGGTTTCTGAGGCTATCTCTTTTACATCCACTTGGTAATGATGAATGGGCACACCTCCATGTGAATCTGGCTTATTGAACGAAACTTTGGCAGTGGTTTGTGACAACTCTAAAACCCGTACTCCATAAGGATTTGATGGCACATCTAAAAGAGTACAAACATCGTTTTAATAATCAGCATCAACTAGACAGACCTAAACAGTTGATAATCTACCCCAAAAAGTCACCTTAGCATCTTGAAGGGAGAAAAAATAAACATTGAATATGATGTAATAATGTTTGCTTTAGATAAGCAACTTAAGATTTCTAATACAGAGCTGTAGGAAAACCACACTTATTTTATTGTATGCTAAAGTTATGCAAAACCATTTTCCATTTCTGCCTTTCTTTTATAATATGAACTTCTTAAATAGCTAATTTCATCATAGGCAAATGTAAGAGATTAGTTTGTTTACTGCAGTTTGTTTGTTTACTATAATTATGTGAAAGGGAATAAAAAAAAAACTTTAAATCAAATTTAACAAGAGGAACCGTTATGGCTAAATAGATCATTCAGAGTCTGAATTCTTCTAAATGAGATTATGACAAAAAAACTGCAGAAATAATTTGGCCGCTTTTCTGAAACTCTAAAATACAGCTGAAAACATGAATTCTTTTTTTTGTTGTTGTTGAAAGACTGAATTCCAAGCTACTAGCAAGGAATATTAATGGAAGGTTTCTATTCTCTTTTCAGTTTAAGAAATAATTTGCAGAGTATGTTGAAAGAAACATTTTCTCTGAAATCAAAAGCAAGTACATATCTAAGTAGAAAAGAACTATGAAAATAAAGCAGGTGTCTGTAGACAGTGTTGAGATGCTAGATATGAAACAAAAGCAAAAAATTAACCTGGGGGTCAGCACATCTTTAAAGACAGAAACATTATGTTATGTCACAATGTATGACCAAACTAACACAAAGAAGACAAAAGACTAACTTTTCTAATTGTTGTGCATTTTAAAGTGTTATAATTACAAAAAATTGTATTGAAAATACTAGGAAGAATTTTAGTTCTGTGGACAGAAAACCAAGGATTTGAAACACCATTAAAAATTTCTCTTCTGATATATCTGACAATTATTTGCATACGTGATTACAAATTTGACATTGCTTTTGTCTCCATGGTATAGAAGGTATTTTTATAAGGACATGCAAGAATTTGAGCCAAAGCCTATCATTTGGTTAGTGGGTACTGAACCATTTAAATAAAATGTAGTCTTTATTCAAGGGCTGTCAGACAGTTGGGAATAAAAACAGAATCAATGTGAACTTCAGCCAGTACTGGTACTTGAATGAAAATGAGCCAAAAATTTCTATAAAATATTAACGAATGGATTTAAGGATATATTCAGCCACAAATTCTCAGGAACAGGACACCTGCCAAAGCTGCTCTAAAAGGCATGTTTTTATAAACTTTTAATAAGCAGGCACCTAAATTTTTCCAGAAAAGTTCTCTAACAGTTGTCAGAGTTGAGTGTCTTAATGTTAATATCATACCTCTGTGAATTATTGCAGTTAGCATTTCTGACCATAGGTCTCCTGAAACCTCCAATGCTTGGGTGCTCATTGGGTTAAAACCAGCATAGGTTTATTTACATGGACAAACAATTTTAATATCTTTTACTTAAAGACGCATCTATAAGAAACCATGATGTTAAAGATTTGAGTAGAATGCAAATCTCAGCTTGAGGGATTCAAACTCTCAAATCCTTTCTTATTCCACAAAAGATTAATTTCATCAGGATATGGCATGTTGCAAGAAATTTTCACCATTCTTAATGAAGCTGCTTTACTCTGCAGAAAGGAATTCAAGATTCATGGTCAGACAGAACATGACCAAATGTAATCAGTATGCTATGCATCCAGGAGAACACAGACCTGGGTTTTGAATCTTTTTCTAAATTGATCAAAAAGTTGGGTTTTTTTAGAAAAAAGAAAATATGTTCCAAAAAGCATACAGATTTTTTTCTGTGATCACACAGAAGAAGAATTATTCACATGAGTTGCTTGCTAAGTAAGCATTGATCCCAAGATCAGAGGAGGATGAGGATTAGAAGCAGCTTGTGACAGACACCTCTCTCCTCCAGATTCTCATTACAGCTGAGAGTAGTATTTTTTTTTTCCCCCTACTAGTGACAGTACCTTAAGCACCATCCTGTGTGCAGATTCTTTCTCTCCCCAGCTCAAATGACTGTTCTGAGAGGGGTGGGAAAAATACAACATAAGTATGCCAACAAAGCAATCCAGGATAGCCAAAGTAAAGCAGCATGGCACTGTATGAGTGATGTGGATACCAATCACTTGAGAAGACGAGTATAGCTCTGCAGTACTGAAGATGAATGCTCTTTGGGTTTCACTGCAAGTTAAAAGCTGCTGTGGATACCTACAATACTACAAATAGTTTCTAAACACTTTTATTCCTTTTCTGTTATTAAAAGAGTTGAAAATGAAACAAATTTTTTTAAGATTGAATGAATATTTAATTTCACTCAGACTATTTTTATGTTAGTTTTTGTGTGCCCTTTTCATAAGGCAATTCACTGTTACTTCAGTTTGGATCAAAACAATTATTTGGTCAATGGTATGAAACAAGAATGTGTTATTTACATATCCACTCTGTTCCTGACTTTCAAAATGTTAAGCTCTCTTTTCCTTGTGTGTTTATGTCTGCATATGATTAACTATAATAAACATGGCATAGGGAAGAAGACATCCTTCAGGAAGAACCTTATGTTCTCTACTGCAGATTCAAGTACAATTTCTGCCAAATGAAGATATGATTCCATTTGGCAATAAGCATAAAATGAAGCTCCTGTGAAAACCCAGTAAAATATTTTGCATAAATAGCACAATGCAATATCTTTAAAACTCATTTAAGTGTGAAATACATCTACAATACTATTTTAAATATGCATCCCACAATCCATGCAACCCACACATGTAGGTAACTTTTATGCAGTTTTCAGAGTTGAACTATATCACTTCTTAAGAAAAGAGTGAATCACCTGAAGAAAATACAACAGGAGACACATTCCTAGTCAAAATCAGAAACAAATACTAGTAATTCCATTAAGGTAGAATAAAATACCTACTATCTCTTTCAGACTAGGCAAATCTATAATTTTTTCCCCAAAGAAGATCATTAGCAGCATAATGAACTGAATCTAACTTTGTGGTTTTCTAATGAGTATGAATTTGATCATGCAAGGTAAACAGCCCTCTGGTCCTGACCTAGCTAAACATTCCAGAATTTGAACTGTTCCCTGTCAGCTGAAATTATTTGGAGCATTGCCATGATTTTCATGTTAGAATCGCAAGGCTTTTGGCTCAATGTTTAGCAGGAGTTAAGAATAATTTGCAAAGTTGTGTACTCTGAAGTCTGCAACTGGAAGGATAGAACTGTGGATGGTTCTTGTTCTTTTTCCTTCTAAAACCAACCAACCAAATGAAACTTAGAGGAATTTAGCTATGGGCAGTGATTACTGTTTCATATACTGCTACAGATAGAAGTTGAAGGACTATATAGTAGAAAAAGTATGGGATTTCTTTTCTATGATCTAAAGATCACTTAGTGATAGCACAGATTCTGGTATACTTTCTTAGAAGTTCCACTGCTATCTTTGTTATTGTAATACTGATACCAAAACAAGGGATAATTCACCAAAAGTTCAGCCTTTAAATTAAAATAAGTCATTAAAAAAAAACAAGTGTCAGACATTTAGTCAACTTCATCTTCTTGCCGCAGTGTCTATTCCTCTGTTCGGCATGTGACTGTATTAATGTATGAAGTTAAAGAATTCCTTAAAAAATAAAAGAAAAAAAGATCCCCAAATAGTAAGTGTAAAATTGCACTTGATGGATTTTGTACTCAGCGCATAAAGCTGGTTAGCACAAATGAACTTTGCGATACATTGGTCTAAATTAAGTAGTATTGGTTTGGTTCCAATGGTCTAAATTAAGTAGTATTGGTTTGGTTCCAAAAGCATTATTGCAGCTGATGGAGAAGTACACACAGAATTATGAGTACATACTTATCTCCACTGATATGTAAATGCTCTTTCAAATCTATTACTATTATTACCCAACCTGTTCAATAAATGAACACCATTTATCACTGGGGATTTTCTTTTCAAGCTATTTTTTGGATAGCTTTATGGAAGAAAATAATTTTCCTTCTGAGAGTTTAGCAGTCCTGGTGTAAATAGAGAAAAGGAAGTTCCTAGTGCAGTTCTGCAGCTTTTCCTTTCTCTGTATAGCTGGAATATATGTTGACTGAAAGTAACTATGTCTAAACGCTGAACATAAGTAGTATCAGA